TTGTTGCTCGTTGCCACAGGATACTGTGGAAATAAAAGTGTACCTTTCAGAAGGGATTAATGAAATTCAAGTGTCATAGCGCCATTGGTAACTATTGAGCACAGTATTTTGTCTCTGAAACTTTTAATAATTTTTGGAGAGAGGGAGAATCTGGTAGGGGAAGAAGCGCTTGAAAAAGGCTCTAAATGTCTGCTGTTGTCAAATGTTGGAAGCAGCAGTCTTGGCAAAGTAGACCTCTGGACCTTTCAAGTCCTCTCTTGTGTTCCACCAGAAGGTTGGTTGGTGGAGGACAGCATCCACTTCTGGCCTTAAAATCAGTAGAATGACCACACCATCATGGGCTTTGCTGTCTGTAATATATAATGTAACAACAGTGGACCTGTTGATTTTCTTTTTGTAATGTCTACTGTTACTGCTTGAAAAAGAGATTGACAAGTGAAAATACGTAAGTCAAAACCAAATGTTAATGCTCTTCAAGTTGGAAAGTACACCGGTTGTTTTATCCATTGGATTGTCCATTAAAACAGTTGAATATAACTATGGTTGCATGTATATAGCATGAGTATAGCATGTAAAGCATTTCTTCCAAACTTTTCCCTTGTAGTCATAAAAATGCTTTCTAAACTAACAGCTTTCTTCTGCTCGGTAGGATATGATTTGTTGGAAGTGTACGTTGACCTGGAACCAGCAAGATGACGACTAAGTAGGAGGAAAATGGTTTTAACATGCCTCTGCTTTGCCAAGGAATATGGAAACAATAACAGATTTGTCAAGTCTGTGGGTCAGCTAGCCTTGTAGTGATATATGATAGTTCTCTATGCCCAGCATACTTTTTCTTTTTAATCGCTATTTAGGAGCTGAAATGTGAATCCTTGTCTGTTTGTTCCAGTTGCTGATTATCACCTTCATGAGTGTGCTGTTTATTGATCAGATGTACCCAGTGTAAATGTGAGATTCTCATTTCTCTTCCTAATGGCAGGCACGTAAATTGCTCTGTCTTTTTATTTATTTTACAGTGTAATGTGAAAGCTAAGAATGTGCCTGTCTGGCAGTTGCCAAAGCGTTTTGATCCATGCACTGAAGCTCTGCAGTAGCCCTCCCATTTCTCTGTTTTTTTTCCTCCAAGCCGTGACATCCCTCATGTTGCCTTCCCTTATCACGCCGGAGTGAGTTGCATCGCTCATGTGCCAAATTCTCCTTGCCAAGCTTCAAACAGCATTAAAACGGTTCCTGGTGTGCTTCCTTGTTTGGAAGAGAGCCAACAGCTTAGAAAATGAGTATTCAGTTTAATAAGAGATGGAAGCTTTAGGTTCTGTTTTCTTCCTATACAAGAGCAAAACTGTGCTCTTAAAAAAAAATAAATGTAATAAGCATGCAGATGGAATCACAGGAGGGCCCTTTCCTTAGTGAAGAGGTAGTAGCTCAGTGGTTAGCGTACTCTCAGATGTGCTGGTGACCAGGTTCAAGTTTGGGCAGATTTGGGAGTTAACACTCAGACCCCTCTCTCTCTCCTCTCTCCCTCTTCCCTTTTTTGGCACTTGCAACAAAATATTTATGAAGTCAGTCTTTCAACAGATATGATCTCATATCCTCCTACAAACTGCATATGGACCAGTCGCTCAGGATGGCTCTATTTACTGAAGAGTTCAAATTGTGGGACAAGACTTTAAGAAGGAAGTAGTGATTTTCAAGAGGAAAGATAGCCAATGATAGCCAGCACTGTGAACGTTCAGGTCTCTCTCTTCTCTAAAAATGAGTCTTTCTCAGTCCTGAATTACTAGAGGCTTTTAGATGATCTCCTCAACGTATAAGAACGGAGGACACCAGCAATACCTATTTTCTTGTTCTCTTTCTGTGGCTCGCTTTTTGGTCTTGATCTCTTCTTGTGAGCCTGAAGTTTGTCATGGAATATAAAGAAGTATGCTGCTCTCTCTTGAGTGTGAGAACTTGTGGAGTAGGTGCTGTGTTAAACCCTCTCGGGCTTGCTGCCTGTGGCTGGGCAGAGACAGGCGGCAGGAGATCGGGAGTCCATGATGCGGGGGATCTTTGACGCTCCGGCACGTCTCAGTCCTGACTTCCAGTGCTCCCCTGGCAAAACCTCTCTGGAGTCTGAGTGTTCACAGTCTCTCTTCCATAAAGTGTCAAGGTGACTTACTGTTGCCATCTGCTCTTCTGGACCAAGACTACGGACTTGCTAAAAAAATAATATGCAGTGAATTAATAAAATGTTGACGTTTACAGTATGTATTCTATAGCAAGTAATCACTGTGTGCAAACAAAAGACGGGATCAGTTTGGTGATGTTGGGAATTTCTAGTGGTCAGGCAGAAGGCTGCGTTGTCTCTTTCATCTCATTTTTCCCTTCCTACAAAAAGCAATTCTAAGCTAAATTGTTCTCTGACATTGTCACCTGAGGCCTTTTGAGCCCGAGCTAATTCCTTTGACTTCTCCCTACCGTATTACCAAACCCACCACCATCCTCCACCTTTAAACAGCGTCTGCTCTTTGGTTCTTCTGCTATTTCAAACATTTGTACCGGATTGTATTTCAACCCCTGACTTTCTGTGAAGAAATTCCAATTACTGTCTCCCTTCCTTCACCTGAGCCCATGTTTTTCTAGATAGTGAATCACAGACTCTTTATAGTCTAGCTTTGCTTTTAGCTTTATGTAACCTATGCGAGGTTGTAAGTACATAATATAATTTTGAGTGACATGTTCCTTTATAGCTCTTTTTACAGTCTTTGGCCTGTTTGGCTTCAAAATTCTTATAGGTGGCCTAAATTAGCCTAAATACATGCTTAGTCTTAATTAAAAGTCTCTTAAATAGATTCTAATTTACTCCTGCTCTTGGAGTCAGTGAGAGATTAGTAATAAAAGAAAATTAGTGGGTTTGTAGCATGATGTATTTGATCAGTGCGGAAACAGGATGACTGCCTCAGGTGTATGGTGAACTCCTCGTTCCTATGTGAACATCCAGCATATTAAAAGTTGACAACATTACTTAGGTTTATCCTGACAAGTGGTGTGTGGGGGTTTGGGGTGGGATTTTTTTTTTGCATTTTTCGCAGATCAATTATTAAACTGAGGAAGCGCTGCAACATATAAGGTGTATAGATGAAAAGTCTTATCTCCTTCAATGGGATTGTTGCCATTGAAGTTTTGCACTTCAGTTGAAAATAAGCTTGAAAGATTTGCAATTAATATTGCTGCACCTAGGATTTTGCTTGAGGTGATTTTTTCTGGAACATAAACATAATTGCACTACTGCCACCATATGGCTTGGAGACCACCTGGTTAATTGTCTAGTTCCTCCCCAATCCTCTTGGCTCAGGGATGTCATTGGAGTGAGCAACAAGTCAGCAAAACAAAACGAATAATTTTTTTTCTCTCAGTATGAGAAAAGGAAGGTTTTTGTGCAAGGGAAAGCTGAGAGCATCTTGAGAGAATAAAGTGTTGAGCTGATACAAAGCAAACCTAGTTCACTGTATCAGGTAACGTTACTGTCCTAGTTTTGTTTTCATTGCTGTTCACAAGTATTTTTGAAGAGATTTAATCTTCTCCAATTGAGATAATTCTTACTTTAAGTCTTGGTTTCTGTCTTGTTCTTGAGTCTCTTGGCAAGAATTTGATGTCCCAGTTTGTTTGTAGCTTCCAACAGGCATGTGGGCCAGCCAAAATAGTTTCCATTTCCCAGTGAGATGCATTCTTAGAAGAACTTTTCCAATCCAAATACCTTGCATTTATTGCTTTTTTTAATTGCTTAGTGCGATACTTGCTTACATTTGCTATTTTAATGTCTTTTCCTGTCCGTAAAGTGAGAGCCCCAAAAGGCACATGCATGCAGTCACAGAATTCAGTTCATATAGCCAGATGGATGTTTTGGAAAAAGAAAGTTGTATGTATGTGCTGTTTATCACAGCTGATGTCTGAGCAAGAAAAAAGTTCTTCTAATGCTGAAGGAAAACAGAATGAAAATAAATAAATGAAAATAGCAAAAACGGATGGCCTTAGCATTTAGCATCATTTTTTCCAGATACTTTAGGGAAAATTGACAGAGTGACACACATACAGTTTAGCTCAGCAAAGGCTCTCAAGTTGCGTTACGCAAGCAACAGGGAATGGTCAGAAGAAATTTCTGTGGACAGTTTTGCCATCTGTTCCTCTGGATGTTGCCAGCATCACAATTTCAAGTCTCATACCTCATTCAGCATGTGGTTTTTTTTTTTTTTTTTTTGGTATATGAGTTTTTTGTAAAGCCTAGAGTCATGTGAGTAGGTAAGGATCTTAATTTAATTTAAAGAAATGATCATTCCTAGTCTTTGGGATTATAAAGAAAAATCTTAAAATATGAAAGTGCTCTGAAGTCTCAAAAAATGCAAGGTAGGCAAAACGTGGGCATTTCACCCTAACTTTTAATTGAACATATTGTTTCTTATTCAACTTTCTTTTAGGGACCAGAGGATTTTTAATGATTTTTTGAACTCTGGGTTTGACAGTATGATTCTAGTAAAAATAGTGCGATTCTCATGCCCTTTGGGGAATGCAGAACTTGACTCCTTTCTCTTCTGGGTTATGTAAATGAGGAGAGGGTTAATTTTTAAGAGTTCAGAGTAGTTTGTGAAGGAGAAGAAACAGAATTTGCATTATGCACCGTATCAGTGAAAACCAAGCTCTTGTTTATTATGGCACTGCCTTTAGGATCTGTATTTAAGGTCTGTCAAGGAGGGCTAAGCTGTATGGTAAACTGCTGTTTGCACTGCTTCTATGAATCCTAAACAGCCATAAATCTTCAGTACCTGCCCTTCCCTATCAGCTTTTATCCTTCATTGGGCTATCACATTACTGAAGTCCATTCAGTAATCTTCAATCCTGAATTACTTCCTAATGACCTCTTTGAAAGTTTTTCTTCTGAATTTGTTCTGCTGTCTCTCTGCTTGCAATTGAATTGTTTAGTTATATAAGCAGTCAGATTTAACATCTTTCCTTCCTGTGCCTTCTAGGACTCCTCAGTGGGCAGACTTCTCCGACCAACACCAAACTGGAGAAGCTGGACTCCCAGCAGGTGCTGCAGCTGTGTCTCCGGTACCAAGACCATCTTCACCAGTGTGCGGAAGCGGTTGCCTTTGACCAGAACGCGTTAGTGAAGCGCATCAAGGAGGTAGTGCCCATGGAGAGTGTGGCTTCTGGCGGGAAAGGGCTCAAGGGCCCCAGCATGTCTGTCTTGAATTGTGAATGCCAGTGTTTGCTGTAGATGGCCTTGGGTCACCAGCAGGTCTCTATTTTAAAGAAAACCCTATAGAGAAACTGTGTATGTGCATTTCAAGGAGAGAGGTTTTCCTGGCTTTCATAGTGGTTATTTATTGGTATATTTATTGGTTATACTCTCTGCTTCCTGACTCTAAACACTGCATGTTCCTCTGGTACAGCAGTAGTCTGTATATATCTGTATCTATCTATCTATCTATCTATGTATCTACCTGTCTAGATCTACTAGTACTTACCTACAAGTACTATGAGTAACTATCAAAGAAGTAAAAGATGACTGGACACCCAGTTATTTAGACCCATATGCTTAACATTTTGTTCTGCATCATGCCTAAGCTCTAATTCAAGGAAAGAAATGGTTATCATAACATCGTTTATGATTGGAAAAGGTACTATTTCTTTCTTTCTTCAGTGGATTTGTGGAGCTCTGCTCTTGTTTTCTAAGCGCATAACATGCTGCCTCTTCTCTGACCCATGCGACTTTTGCTTCCTACCTCTAAAAGGCCTTAGAGGATTCAAACTTAGCCAGTGTCAGGACATGGGATATCACATTATAGTCCAGAGGAGAAGCTGAATGTCTGTAGGAACAATTGAAAGCAAACAACAAGCAAATCCTTATTACATATGCCTTATTTCTGCTCTCTGAGAGAAGCAGAGAAGAGAAGGTGTCATCAGAAACAAGAGCCGCAAGTAGGGTTGATAGTGATACTCATGGGGAGGAAATTAATTCCTAGGATGGTCTACTTGCAACTTTTTCGTGTGTATAGCATAATTATGTCTGTAATTATGTTGTAAGTGATAGAATGGCTGACGGTTTGTTAAAGTCGAGATAGACTGGCATGAGAGGCGATGCTATTTGAGGGTGGTTTCTTACATGTTCACAGGTGTGTCAAAGAACTGGTGAACATTGCCTTTGTCAGTAGTCTGAGACCAAATACCTTTCAATGTCAAAAGAAAAATTTGTGGACAGGTGGTTAATTTTTACTCATGCTCTATAAAGAATGACCTTGATTCATTGTTGTTATATTGGCTTAGAGTTAAGAAATCCTGCATGACAAACTGGGTAATAAATTCAATTCATGGGCTGTTTTGAGAAGCTGCTGTCACCATCAAGTGGTAACTCCAAAGTAAAGTGGGAGCCATTAAAAAAAGGCCCTTTTTTATTTTGGTGTATCAAGATCCAAGGCCAGCTATTACACAAGATGTCAAGATGTTTGCAGATGTTGGTGATTCAGATCATGCAATCTCAGAAATGGGATTAATTGCCAAACTAATGACAGTATACTGTATTAATCCAAGAAGATTGTAATTCTTTTGGCTGTTAAAGTGTGAGAGTGAATATCAGCATGATTTAAAGTCATGGTGGACTCTACCCATTGGTTTTTTTAAAAAATGCAGCCTTTATTAGCTGGATTTGCTTTCTGTTGGGCCAGTGGCAGATTGCTATTCAAATTAGTGATGGTGTTATTTTCGTCCAGTTCGTAAAGCTAACAATTTTTTTCATGGGAAATAAATACTACTGTTATATTGGGTTGATGTTGTCACTGACTTCTTGATCACAGTCTCCTCTGTAACAGTGGACGGGTCTGCAACTTGGGCAACTGGCAAGTCCGTTCCTATTTTTTTGTCACAGCAGTTAAGTAACTTCAGATGCTTTGAATCCCTTTGCCAGATTTGGTGGATTTTTACTGTTCATTTTCCTAATAATTTTTAAATGTTTTTCTTGCAATGGCTGTTCTGCATGTGTGTTCTGGAGGAGCCGGGTGGGACCCACGTAGCTGTAATCGTTCTTTCCAAATTGTTTCGGCTCTCTTTAGTGCACTAAATTGAACCGCGGTTGACAGTTGTTGACAACAAAGGGTGCAGCTGAACTGAAGCAGAGTAGGTCTCTAGTTACAAGTGTAGACAAAGAAAATCGCGTTTGACTGCACCCATTTGTCAGCAATGATTTATTTTCACAGTGTAGACAAAGCTTGGACTGTTGGTAAGGAGTAAAGGATTAAAAAGAATATGAAGTGTATTGCGAAAAGCATGCTGAATGCGTGAAGTAGAGTGAGTAAATTTTTATCCTCACTTTAGTTATCAGTGTTTCCTTTCTACTTTTTTTAACCTTGGATATATTGGAGTATTTTTTTTTTTCCTTCTGAAATCAGGCTGTTACCAAGTGAATAGTGCTTTTAACTTTTCTACAAAATGTTGGTAAGCTTCAGTGCTTGATTCCTGCTCTTTATCTCAGGGCTGTTCACTTTTCACAGACTTTCACTGACTGTCCTCAGTGTTGTGATAGTCCTACTGTATAGCATGCTACAGTCACGCTGACTACAGCCAATATTTTTTAGATTTTTCCTTGAAAAAATGTCCCAGGGAAAGTATCTTTTGCTTATTCTCTGTGTGTCCAGAAAAAACAGTTTCCTGGGTTTTGGCAAAGCTCAGAGTACTGTTGCAAATTTATTGGTTCTTGATAACTCATAACTGGTTAGAGTGGTTTGTAAATCGGCTCACAATCTAAATTAAAATGGTTCTTAATTGAAAATAGAATAATCTAAGGAAAACAAAAAACCTTGCATGTCAGTGGTTGCTGTAGCTGCTCTAAGGAGACTCATCTGTGTGTTGCCTTACTTTGAGGAGCACAGCAGTCTGACTTTGCTCTCTATGCCATTTCCAAGTGTAGCCAGAATTGCCTTGCAGTGGCGTAGCCAGAGCCGCATAGTCTCCCAAACTGAGCTCCTTTGTGCTTTCCACCTTACTTTGACTAGTCTTTGTCACAAAAAATTGTATTTCATCGAGTGTTTCCTTGAAGGGGAAAGAATTGAAGGTGTGGTTGAAGGTAGTTGGCCCAACTGTTTATCTTCAGTAGTTACACCTACTTGTACCTAAGCTGTCCAGTTTTGGAAGGGATTGATTTTACCACAATAGACTTTGCTTTCACTGCCAAAAAATGGATATGCTTGCACCTTTTCAGGAAAACCTAACCAATTTGCATTAAATATTGTGTTTTGTATTAATTTTTGGCAGCTGACTCACTATCTGTTGCAATACAGCATTGATTCCAGGACCAATGAAATGTTTAATATTCCTTTTATTTTTTCCCCTTATGTGCTTAAAAAACAACAGAACAGCAATTTGAGATTTGTGTGCATGTTAATTCAGGATTATGGCATCTGACAAAATTTGACAGTTTTCAAGGAAAAAGCCTATGTCTCTCCCTTTCTAGGTGGTACCTCTGCCCTTTGATGTTTTGTAGGGTGAAAATTATTGATTTGTTGGATTAATCACCCTACTGTTGATTTCTGTGAGCACACAGAATCACAGAATCACAGAATCGTTTAGGTTGGAAGGGACCTCTGGAGATCATCTAGTCCAACCTCCCTGTTCAAGCAGGGTCACCTAGAGCATATTGCCCAGGATCACATCCAGGCGGGTTTTGAATATCTCCAGCGAAGGAGACTCCACCACCTCTCTGGGCAACCCGTTCCAGTGCTCTGTCACCCTCACAGGAAAGAAGTTTTTTCTCAGGTTCAGATGGAACTTCCTGTGGTTCAGTTTCTGCCCATTGCCTCTTGTCCTGTTGCTGGGCACCACGGAGAAGAGTCTGGCCCTATCCTCTTGACAATCCCCCTTCAGATACTTGTACGCATTGATGAGCTCCCCTCTCAGTCTTCTCTTCTCCAGGCTGAACAGGCCCAGCTCTTGCAGTCTTTCTTCATAGGAGAGATGCTCCAGCCCTCTAATCATCTTGGAAGCCCTCCGCTGGACTCTCTCCAGGAGTGCCATGTCTCTCTTGTACTGGGGAGCCCAGAACTGGACACAGTACTCCAGGCGAGGCCTCACCAGGGCTCATCCCTTCATATGTAAAGTATACTGAATTATTAAAACGGGAACTTCTAGTACCATCTTGCTTTACTAGGTCAATAAGCAAAAGGCTTTAAAAACAACTTTTTTCTATAGGTTCCTAACATGACATTTTTTTAGCTGATTTGTTTTGGCAATAGCATACTGTAGGGGAACCCTGAAGTCCTTAATTGACAACTGCACTTAGAACAAAAGCAACCATAACTCTGAGGACACAAAATTGTAGCAAATTAGGCTCCCTTGGTAAAGATGCAGGACTAGTTCTCATGATCTGGCACATTGCACCAGCAGTCTTTCTGCCCTTTTGTAAGGCTTTATGTCTATCTGTAGATTTACATTACTGTTTCAGATTTACATTACTGTATTACAGTTTGTACAGATTCAAAAACTTGAAGATCTACTGAATGACCCTCTCCATAGGTTTATATGAATCCATACTAGCTGAAGATCTAACCCCAGAAGTTATTCACAAGCTGAATGTTTTTTGTCATAACTATGATCAGCCATGTAAGACTTTAAAAGATCAAAAGATAATTGCACAGTTACAGCTGCTTTTAGGCACCCATTTAGTACATATCTTTATATATAGGTTCTATCAGCTCTTGTTGGTACATAGATATGATTTATACCATGTGAGTTTCTCTTTCCTTCTGCATAGTGCACTGTGTTGTATTAATTGGAATTTACAGGATTTCTTTGTATCAGCCAAGGCTTTGATAAGCTATGTTTCAGATGTGCATAAAATTTATATTATATGAGAGGACAGCCAAGAAGTCCCAGGAAGGATTAGGGCTTTGCAGCAGCTACTGGACAATGGCACTGCTCTTTGCAGCTGTCACTGACCCTTATCCCTTAAGGGAATTAAAAGCTTTGTTTCCAGGCACCAGGAGATGGTCTCCCGCTAACTAGCAATATGCATTATGAAATTCTAGCACTGACCACAAGTGAGTGATTCACTATCTCAGTTCACTACAAGGAATCCTCAATAATGCATTGAGCACTGTTGCTTTCCCACTAAGTCAGTCAATATGCGATAATTTT